TCCAAAGCATCACCTGCAAGGCGCGGATCCGACGCGAGAATATCGTGGTGTACGATGTATGCGCCACCATCGACCAGTGCCCCACGCGCATCGAGGAGACCTCGCCCATCGTCCTACGCTACAAGACCCCCTACTTCAAAGCCTCGGCCCGCGTGGTCATGCCCCCCATCCCCCGCCACGAGACCTGGGTGGTGGGCTGGATCCAGGCTTGCAACCAGATGGAGTTCTTCAACACCTACAGCGACCTGGGCATGTAAGCGATCGGCCGCGCGGAGCCAGAGCGGGGTCCCTGGCCCCAGTCTCTGGTTCCCACCTTGTCCCCTCTCCCCAGGTCCTTCTTACTGCACTCCCCATCCTCTTTCTAAACCTTCCTCCCGCCTCCTCTCTCACCTCCCTCCTCCCTCCGCTTTTGTTACAGTGACAGGGCGGGTGTAGGGAGGCTCCTCGCGAAGGCATTTTCTCTTGGTTTGCTTCTGACTCCCCATTAACGCGAACAGTGCCTTGTGCGAAGAATGCGACGCGGAGGGTTCGAGAGGCGCAGGTGGGAGGTGGCTGACAAGTGCCCTGGGAGTTTCGGGGTGCGGTCTGTGCTTTGTGGGGTTTCTCGGCAAGAGTTTGGGGGTGATGTGTAGAGAGAGGAATGGAGAGGAGTGCCGAGGACGTGTGAACTGTGCCGCGCGTCGTTTGGAGAAACCGGAGCGGGCGTGGAGAAGGTCCCAGGCGTCAACACGGGAGTTGGTGGTTCTGCTTGTGTCCCTTGAACTGTTGAATACTAGCCCTTTCCCCGAAGCCAGGGAGCCTGGACACGCTTCCTTCCGGTACCGCAAACCGGCCAGTGCTGCCCTTGGCTCCGCGCCTCTGAAGGAGTTCTGAGTGGTGGGGAGCGGGAAGGCGCTGGGCGCGTCCGGGCGGAGCTGGGTTGATGGCCTTGTGAGAGCAGTCTCCGGCTGGCGTGGAACCGGGTGTTTCTTATGCTCAAGAAAAGAACGGGTGTGTTGTCTGTCTAGGATCTTTACTTACTCTTCAAAACTTTCCTAATTGCGGCGCTGGAAGGGATTTCCCGCGCCCACCGCCGAATCCTGTCGGCGAGCTGGGAGCTCTCCAACTTCTTTCAGCAGTGCTGCTTGGTGCGCTTCGGGCTTGGCTGCTGCGGTGGAGACCCAGGATCGCAGTGGCTTCTCTGCCGCCAGAAGCCAACACTCCAGGCTGCAGGAGGGAGCATCCAGGACTTTTTTATTTACTAATTTCTCATAATACCCCTCCCGCCTTTTCTCAGAATTAGACTCTGAGCAGTTGGCGCTATAGTGGCTAAAAGCTTTGGGGCCAACATTTCACCCGCTGTTAGAATATAGGTCTAGCGCACCCTAATTAGCGTGCAGTCTAAAGGGAAACACTCTTCTGGAAATTCAGCCTCATTTCTTTTATTAATCTAAAGCTATAGCGCTCCCAATGTGGATGTGGGGTGTGGAAGTTCCCCTTTTAAAAGGTCAGGCCACCTTTTTAGCAGCAATTTTCAGGCTTTTATTGTACTCTGAGAGCAAGTAAGTTAATACTAGTCATAAGCGCTAAAAGGAGTTTTGACAGGTCATTTTGTTCTCTCCTCCTCCCCGCCCCCACCCCAAAAGTTTGGACTTTTCTTTCTGAGCATAAAAGCTCTGAGATGGAGCAAGCTCATTCCTTGTGAAGTGCGAGAGCCCAGTTTTCCCTGTGCCTTTGGGCGCTATAATCCTTCTTTCTGGAAGGCAGCTGGATGTGAGAAATTGGGGATGTATTATTTTGGTAGGAGCTCTGGTAGCGTAGTACCTGAGGCACTTGACTGCTAACCAGAAGGCTGGCGGTTCAAACCCACCAGCCACTCCTCCGAGGGAAGATAGGGCAATCTACTTCCGTGGTGATACTGCCTCGGAAATCCAAGGAGGGGTCGCTATGAGTGGGGCTGACTCAATGGCACATAACAACAACATTATTTTGGTGCATCATGTTATTTCAAAATAAACAAACCTTCAAAAGAGCAATTATATCTGAACACATGTGTCTCTTAAAACAGCTTTTTTAGAAATCCATTATTTCCAGCCATCAGGGAAAGTCACAGAAAGGGCAAGGGCCCACCCCGTGGTTCCCCTGGTCTCATACAGAGGGTGGCTTGTACCTTTGCTGGGGGTAGTGACTTCTCTCATGGGTGGCCTGAAGTCCCTTGTACAGGAAGCACAGGAAGCCAGAAGGATATGAGAGAAGCAGCCTTGCTTTCCCCAAGACCAAACAGCTGGGTTCTCTTTTGCCTCAAAGCCCTTGTAAGTCAGTAAATCTAAAATAAATAAATAAAGGGACCTTTCCATAAAAAATCAAACATACCCTATCTCAGGGGAAGCCAAGTTGAGATATGAAAAGACCTGGTGGTTGAACTCCTTGACTCTGTGGGAGGGTGTGTCCACATTGGAACCAGCTTTAATGGAATCAGTGATGGCTCAGAAGGACATGGTATTCCCTGACCCTTTCCCCACTGAATTCTTGCCTTTGGGATTTGAAAAGAAGTTTTGTTTGAAAACTGGCCCTTTCAGTGTTTTGCAATTCTTGGTTTTCTTGTTATTGATGCAGAGGACCAAAAATAGTTCCCAGGAAATCATAAAGCATGTTATTATAGATCTGTGTCCAGAGTCGACCTTTCTCTTCATGGTTGCAATAATTGCTATGTGTTTAAAGCCACTTGGGAGCCCAGATTTGATTGAACCAATCTCCACAAAAATGTTTATGCCCTGAAAACTTTGACAGTGTAAACTTTTTAATGGGAACTCATATTGCATGAAAGTCTCTGCAGTCTATTTGTTATTATGTCTGCTTTAGCCAGTACCTTGAGTGGAAAAAACACCGCAGGCTGAATGTTCACCGTTGTTCAGTGTTCCTGCTACACGAGGCATAATATGGCAAGAGGGTTTAGGTTAGAAAGCTGCCTTTTCAGTGTTTAAAAAGGGACTTGCCAGAGGACATTCATAGCTCAAAATGGTAAGAAGCCTCCATCTACAGTGTTAAAAGAAACCCTGAGCTTTTGTGGTTTAAATTTGCAACATTTCCAAGAAGGGGTAGACTTCTTAAAGGGCATTTGAAATAGCTGATGGGCATGATAACCAGAGCTTAATTTGATCTTGAACTCAAGTGATTCGGAACTTCCTCAAATGAGTCTATAGAAAGCTGACTGGTGAGTACTTGCAGCACCTATTCATTTCTCATTTGGTCCAGGCGAATTCTGCTAATGCATCCCTGAAGTGACTGACTGCTGCAAGTCTTCGTCCTTCCGGGAGTAAGGGCTTGCTTTTCAATCAACTTGTCAATAAACAAATATTTACCAAGTACCTGTGATGTGCAAAGGAGCTCTGGTTGTGTAGTTGTTGTTGTTGTTGTTGTTAAGTTCCGTCGAGTCGTTTCCGACTCATAGCGACCCCATGCACAGCAGAACGAAACACTGCCCGATCCCGCGCCAGCCCCACAATCCCTGCTACACTTGAGCCCATTGTTGCAGCCACCGTATCAATCCATCTCATTGAAGGCCTCCCCCTCTTTCGTCGACCCTCCACCCTACCAAGCATGACATCCTTCTCCAGGGAATGGTCCCTTCTTACAACATGACCAAAATAGGTGAGACCAAGTCTGGCCATTCTTGCTTCCAAGGAGCATTCTGGCTGCACTTCCTCCAGGACAGATCTGTTAGTTCTTTTAGCAGTCCATGGTACTTTCAGCATTCTTCGCCAGCACCACAACTCAAAAGCATCAACTCTTCTTCGGTCTTCCCTATTCATTGTCCAGCTCTCACATGCATACAAGGTGATTGGAAATATCATGGCTTGTGTCAGGCGCACCTTAGTCCTCAAGGAGATATCCTTGCTCCTCAGCACTTGAAACAGTTCCTTCGCAGTTGACTTTCCCAATGCTACACGACGTCTAATGTCCTGACTGCTGCTTCCGTTGGCATCGATTGTAGAACCAAGCAATGTGAATTCCTTGACAACGTCAATCTTCTCTCCATTGATTGTGATGCTGCTCATTGGTCCAGTTGTGAGGATTTTTGTTTTCTTTATGTTGAGATGTAATCCATACTGCAGACTGTATTCTTCAACCTTCATCAGTAGGTGCCTTAAGTCATCCTCACTTTCAGCAAGCAAAGTTGTATCGTCTGCATATCTCAGGTTGTTAATGATTCTTCCTCCGATCCTGATACCACGTTTTTCTTCATATAGTCCAGCTTCTCGGATTATTTGCTCAGCATATAGATTGAATAAGTGTGGAGAAAGAATACAACCCTGACGCACTCCCTTCTTGATTTTAAACCATGTAGTGTCCCCTTGTTCTGTTCGAATGACAGCCTCCTGGTCAAGGTACAGATTCCTCATGAGTACAATCAAGTGCTCAGGGATTCCCATTCTTCTCAATGTTATCCATAATTTGTCATGATCCACACAATCAAATGCCTTTGCATAGTCAATAAAACACAAGTAAACATCTTGCTGGTATTCTTTGCCTTGAGCCAAGATCCATCTGACAACAGCTATGATATCCCTTGTTCCACGTCCTCTTCTGAATCCGGCTTGAACCTCTGGAAGTTCTCTGTCAATATACTGCTGCAAACGTTTCTGAATTATCTTCAGTAAGATCTTACTTGCATGTGATATTAGTGATATTGTTCTATAATTTCTACATTCTGTGGGATCACCTTTCTTTGGAATGGGCACAAATATGGATCTCTTCCAGTCAGTTGGCCAGGTAGCTGTCCTCCAAATCTCTTGGCATAACTGAGTGAGTGCCTCCAATGGGGCATCTGTTTGTTGAAATATCTCAATTGGTATGCCATCAATTCCCAGAGCCTTGTTCTTCGCCAGTTCTTTCATTGCAGCTTTGACCTCTTCCTTCATTACCATTGGTTCTAGATCATATGCCACTTCCTGAAATGGATGAAGATTGATCAGTTCTTTTTGGTACAGTGACTCTGTGTATTCCTGCCATCTTCTCTTGATGTTTCCTGCATCATTCAATATTTTGCCCATAGAATCTCTCACTATTGCAACTTGAGGCTTCAATTTTTTCTTCAGTTCTTTCAGTTTGAGAAATGCTGAGCATGTTCTTCCTTTTTGGTTTTCAGACTCCAGTCTTTGCACATTTCATTATAGTAATTGGCTTTGTCTACTCGAGCTGCTCTTTGAAATCTTCTGTTCAGCTCTTTTACCTTTTCATTTCTTCCATTTGCTTTAGCTATTCTCCGCTCAA